CCTCTTTCTTTTATTGCTGTTCACTTGTTTGTGGTATATTTGAAAGTCAACCAACACAGCTTCTTATATCAGCAATCACAGCTGTGCCATTTTATCCTTGTTACACAAAAGTGAGTAGAAATGGCAAAAGTTAAGGGAAAAATGACCAGCGGGACAATAAATATAAGCAAATAAATATAACTATCACAGCCTTAATATTGTGAAAGTGGGCCTTGCACAATATTTAAGTTTTCTCACTTATGGTGATTTAAAAGTATAACTTACTGTTCACCGCCTTCATTTTACATTGACATATCTATTTCTATATTTTATGCAACTTATTATTTACGATGTCACAGTCTTCCTATGATTAGATTCCATGATTAAGTTTGCCCATTTGAGGGATATTTTCTCTGACTTTTAGGATTAACCAATCACAGCATCTGAAATGATTACCATACAACAGGATCAGCCTCCTTACAGGAATTTTTGTCCATTCCTTGCTCAGTTTTTTTAGAACGTTCTGGAATAACTTTTAAGCTAAGATTTCTAGCTAAGAGTTTTTAGGTTAAGTTAGGAGCTCTTTGAGAGGACTCTCAGAATATTATTTCAGGCCTTGGTGGTTGAACAGGACAAAGGTATAGGGGGCAGTAGGTTAAAGCTTTCAGCTCTATTTTAATTAATTCTATTAATTTATTATTTGTAAGTTCAGAAATATTCAGAAATATGCATAAATGTTCTGGATCATCATAACACTTGGACATACGGAAAGTACACATTCATCAAAGAACCATCACAAAACTTCTCCAATTTCAATGGTCTATTCAGAGAAGTCGCTGGTGATCATGTTTAAAAAAAATAATAATAATTGCCTATTCCTCTATTTCTCTTTTTCTCTCTAGTTTGGAGTTTTTAGTGATGGAACCTGGGTTTCTGCCTCAGTTTGTGAAGTTAGACACATTTTGATTCCTTTCCTTTAGTCTTTTGGAGGCTCAGAAGGAAACTCATCTCTCAGGCTTTGGTTTTAATAAACACAAATAATATATGTATACATTAGTCAACATCATATTTGTTCTTTCAGTTATAGCAAACATACAAAATGAATAGACTAAACATAAAAAACACAAATGATGAAGGCATGTATTTACAAATGGACCAACCTATTTTTTTTATCAGTTTGAATTACATATATACATGTTTGAGTAATCCTGTAGGTGTTTTGAAGGGTTTTTTTCCACATTTTTTCTCTGCACCTGTAATTATACAATACACGCTAGGTCCAAAATGTTGCCAATGCCACTCACTGCACAAATCAGAAAACACAAAGCAATAAACAGTGTTATCTTACAAAAAGGTTTAAGTATGAGGGCAATATCAGTTCATAAGATAAGATGAGACATACTTTATTGATCTCCAACTGGAAAAAATTACAATTATTTTTGCAGTTTGTAGTAAATATATTCCATTTTTTATTTTTATTTTATTTGGTCATGACAACAATAGAAAATGTCATGATCTCTTTGCAGTAAGCTAAAACTCAATTGACGTTCAGTCACGGATCCATTGTTCTGCGTGGGGATGACGCCCTCTGGTGGACAGTCTCTCACACTGCGCCGCTGTTGGAGCCTTCTGCTGAGGGGAAACCGGTGATCCGAGGTCCACCTGCTGCTGCGACACAAAACTGCTGAGTGCATGAAACTGCTGCACACTCCCAGAGCTTCACCGCAGTGAGTGTGCGTGTGCGGACATGAAGACCCCCCCACCCTCCTCCTCCTCCTGCTGCTGCTGCTTCAGGGCAAATATAATTATGTGGTGTATGACTGGTGTAGGATTAAGTTTACTTTCATTATTATTTAATTATTAGCAATTTTCTGTCTGACTTATAATCACAAGCACTAGGTATCTCATTAGGTTATATTTAATGCATGACTTTGAACCCATGACTTTGAAATATTGCAGTTTGTATAAAAGTACTTGCCTGATGTACACTGACCTTGGAGCACTGAGAGTGAGGGTACAGTTCAGTGTGCCCCGGTCTCCTGTTGATTGACAGCTGTCCTCACAATGATCCTGTGAACCTCTTTGGTTTTAGGGAAAACCGGAATAGACTGGAGCCGACAAACTGCAGTGAACCTGATCATACAGAAGTTAGACTTAAAGGAGCTATACCTGTTTCTGCTCGGTTTTTTTCAGTTTGAATGTTTAGCACTGCCCCCAACCAGCTCACTCTCCCCTTCGCTCTCCTCCCACAAAGCCATCCAGTTTTATTTGCGATCTGATACGTATGCAAACATTAGTGTGGGAAAGTGAACTTTTTAACTGCTATTATTTTTGTGGTGTGTTTTGCTGTGTTTTTAATGTTTTTATTGCATGCATTTTAATCACAGTTTCTTGGACACTTCCCCTAATCACCCACACCTGTTTTTAATCAACAAGACCTGAAATTGGGGGCGGGCACTGGAGGAGGGGAGACAGAGAGTGTGGAGACGAGAGGAGGACGACACGGGGCCGCGCCAAGGACGAGCACCGCCAGCCAGAGACCACGGGAGACTGAGGCCAGCGGGGGGAGCGGCACCGGTGAAGGGGCGCGCATTGACAGCGCATTAAGCGCGCCCGGGCTAGGCCCACTGACGACCGGGATGTGCCGACTCTCCCCCGCGGGTGCCCGGTGGCGACCCGTGGTCGGCGAGTGGCTGGTGGGACTGCGGCCCGGTCCCGGGACAGAGGAGAAGAGCAGAGGCCAGTGGAGACGGACGAGAGACTCTGGGCTTTTATCATCTTTTTAATGGACCTTTTGTGATTATTTTATTACATTTGTATCCCCTTTTTATCCTCTTGCTTTTTTTATTGATCACACCCCCTCAACAGACTCTTTTAACCTGTGACATTAGCACGAGCGCAACTTCTTGTTAGAGGTACAACAATCACTGATGAAATGGTACAAAAGCAATGCACTGCTAACAAAATACATAACTAAAAGATTACAGATAGTAAGGCGTCAAATTGTAGTCCGAGGCGGTCCCGCTCCTGCAGGTCTCTCCCAGTGGGGAAGGGCCCCAGCTCAAAAGTGACCAAAATGACGTGCGCTGACATGCTTGCAATACCACCCCAGGCCGATGGGGGTGGACCCGGAATGAGAATTATTCAATGCTAACATATAGCATTGGCAGACCTCTCTAAAACGTCTTTACAGGATGGACCAAAAGTTGGCTCTTGGCCCAAAGCTCCGTTCCACATGTGTGTCAATGCTGAGGGAAGTCAATTTTTTGGACCAGTCTAGTTTAGTCGCTGTGATTTTTTGAAGGCACTCGGTCAATGAATGGGGCTCGCGCCACCTGACGCATGCGCAGATGCGTTTTTTTCACATTTTCCAGCCTCTGCGTAACTGCCGATAGACCGCGGAAGTTGTGGCACATTAGTTAGAACGGCGGAGATGGGCGTGACTACGTCCGTTAATATTTACAGTCTATGGTCTTTCCAGATGATACCGATGTAAGCTAACGCTACTTATATTCACCCGGGCTTGATTTAATCTTTGATCATTTTTTCTCGCTTTGGTTCCCTCTTCTCTTCCTCTCTGTTGTGTCGTTTGGGCTATTTTTCTGTGTATGCAGTTATAGCCAGAGGACGTATAGCCACTTTCTGCCCCCATGCTGCTGTGTTTACCTGTGCTGTAGAGGCTAGAGGACGCAGCCTGTTCGTAACTCGTTGTGTGATTGGAGGAGAACGAGCGTCACGCTAGGTTTCTACGCAGCACTTTTCACGACCTGAATTCATACACAAGCTGAATCAATGAGCTCAAGTGAGTTTTCAATTAAATTACGGATTCTAATACAACTTGTATGTAGTAATACATATTTTTATGAACTCCATCCATCCATCCATTTTCTTCCCTTTAATCCATTTCTGGGTCAGGGGGGTGACAATCAGAGATGCCACCCAAGTCTCATAGCACCAGCCCCTCACTGACCCTCTGCAGGTGGTGAGTCCACAGGAGGACGGCTGCTCTCTGAGTGTGAGCATAGCCTTGATCTTTCAGTGTGGGGCTTTGGGCAAAGTGGGGTTAAGTGTCTTGCCCAAGGACACAACGACAGCAGTCATCAGTGGGAGTCGGTGGAGAAGGTGCAGAGGTGGGAATTGAACCCACGACCTTCTGGGCTTAAGGCCAATGCTCTACCAACTGAGCTACTGTCAACTGTCTATATTGGTTTTAGTCATAGGCTTGAACATCTTCTGTTTGATCTTTATCCATAGTTAAAATTGTTTAAATCAAAATTAAAGGAAAATAAAGCAGACCCAAAGTAAAGTAAAGTAATTATGAGCACGTAACTAATCCGTGTAACTTATTCCATTTTTTCTTTGGCCCTGGTCTGGGGCCCTGACCAGACTGTTTTTAACCAAACTGTAAAGCACTTTGTGTTGCATTTTCTGTATAAAAAGTGCTCTATAAGTGCTTTATAGAGGACAGAATCTGGCCGTATGTGGCCCGTGAGTTTGCCCAGGTGTGAGAGCCTAGGTAGAGTTTTAATTTCTGGCACCATTTGCCTTTGAAAGATGGATACAAGCTACCAGGAGTAGCATATAAAATGTGTTTGAAATAGATTATTACAAGAAACAACTTTGGCTCTCACAATTCTCACAAGAATAAATATGTGTATATCTTGATGAACCAAGTTTAAGTTATGTGTATGTTTCACGAGCTGCTTGGTAAAAATGATGAAAACAGGAAAAAACTTGTAATTAGATTCACAGTTTCATTATACAGGATACAGAGGAAGGTCCTGAATCACAACTTTGATTTCGTGACGCAACTCAAGAGCATCTGAGCCATCCACCAAAATGTATTATTTTAATGTCCCCCTAGTATTTGAATGTCTTGAATATATATACACACCATTTGAAATAAATAAAGTTGGTTTTGGCTCTTCATTCACGCCCAGTCCTGTCTGAAGCAACGCTCCGCCCGCTCACGACACGCATATAAAAGCCGTTGCGCGCTGCAAGTCCGGACAGATCTCCTCATGCGTCTGCGTCCCACTCCCACGATGATCCGAGCCGCGATGGCCCTGCTGCTGCTGCTGCTGCTGCTGACGGCCGCACTGAGCAGCTCTCCTCCGGGGATCACGGGAGATCACGTCACGGGAGATCACGTCACGAATCTGAACCACCGGCCGATCATCGGTAATGCAGCCAAAGGGGCAGGGACGGGAGCATTGTTATGTAATTTTTAAGAATGTTCTGGAAGTAAAAAGGAGGTTGGTTGATGTTTAGTTTTATGGATATGGTATGGACTTAATCATTTGATAAGGGGAAAATCCCGGTGCCTGCAGTGTCATATACACAGACATGAACAGAGAGGTCATTATTAGAAGCGCAACGTGCATGGATCACAGTTGGCGACTAAAACCTGTAATGTTGTATAGAAATTGAATTACTTAATAGTGAACCCTTTCCTTCAAAAGTATCTGTAACCTATGTCCTGCTCCAATAACAGTGCTGCTTGCAATACTTTGACTCTCATTTGCATATTGTGTAAAGATGCAACAGAGAGATTAAAACAACTCACACAATATTGGTTTGATGTGTGGAGCTCATCCAGCCATGGATGTGGTATATTATCTGGAAGGCTTAAACGGGTGCTGGAGACCGGTTACATCCTCTCTGACTATGACATCTTGTGCTGCGGTCAGATTAGACTCTTGTGTGCTATATTGAGTAACATAAAAAATCCTAAACTGTCTCTCATTCTAGACTTCTGAGATTAGTTTAAAAGGCAACAAACTATTGCAAATATGGTATGATTAAAAACTAATTTGGGGGGAAACCCGTAAATAGTGTGTAGTCTCAGGCCCCGCGTCTCCACCAAAGCTGAAACAAAATGTATGCCCTTGGTTATTATTGTGGTTTTTGGCACACTCATATGGCATTCGTTTTTTCCCTAAAAGCACAGTGGTGATTAACTAGCTACAGCTGCCCTGGGGCACATTGACAGAAGGTGTTGGCAAAGTGACTATAGAGTTTTACTGAAGGACACACCTGTCCCACTGTGGCACCAGGTTTTCCCAGAGGCCTCCCATCATAGTATAGACCAAGCCCTGTCCTGCTTAGCTGACAGAAACTGGCGTTCACATGCAGGTGACACCATGAAAGTAGGGTTGCCTCTTCAAAATATAGAATAAATAAAACAAATGAAACTCAAAGTAACTTTTGAATTTTATTCTAATTTTCTTTTATTACACATAATTCTGACCTTCACTGAGTTTTATTTAATCTGTTTAAACAAATTTGCTTTAGGATTACACTTACAACCAGTGTGACCAGTTTGATTGTGATGCAGACTTTTTGACACAGTTCTGACTCTGAGGCACACATGCTCTCACACAGGTGCAGCAGAACAAGCACAGGCGCACACGATGGCCTCCAGACTTTTAACCTTTTTCTAGTCAGTCAACAAGACAAAGACAATTTTGAGTGGAAAAAAGCTAACAATGAAGTTCCCTTCACCAAGACACACGGCTCACATGGGGCTTATTTTTTGCACTATAAATATAGTGCAACCTTTTTGGGAAAATAAGATCCTTGAGTAGTTCTGGTTAGTCAGTGGAAGAGAGGGCACGTGCACAGTTTTGCCCTGGGGATCCTGCTTGAGCTGCGTTAGTTTCACATGGAAGACACTGCTTCATAAAGTTCTATTCTCCTTCTCATCCACAAGATGATTATATACTAATAATGATAATAATGCATTGTTTTTAAACAGCGCATTTCAGAACACTCAAAGATGCTGCACATGTCATTATTCATTCACTCCATACACAGTGGTGATAAAATATTACTGTAGCCACAGCTGCCACGGGGGCACACAAGCAGCCGCAGCCGCCCCACTGTGGCACCTGTGTTTCCAGAGGTCTCCCATCACAGTATTAACCTACACAGCTTCAGAGGTCTGACGGGATCTGGCTCTCGAATTGCAACTAATAAAATACCAACACTGTACATTTACATGAGAAATGCGTGTGGAGTTTGCATGTTCTCCCTGTGTCTGCTTAGGTTTCCTCCAGGTGTTGTTCATTAAAAACAAGAAGGGAAACATTGCAATCATGCAATCAAACACAAGCAGTGGCTTTGAATAATTCTTGAAAATATCAGAAACTGAAATTTCCCCTCTGTGGGATGAATAAAGGATTTCTTAATCTTAATTAATCTCTTAATTGTACTAAACTAAACATAAATGCAGAACAGAGAACTTACTGTACATTTACAACATGAAAAACACTACACACATTTACAATATGACGAAGAATTAAGAAGTAGAACTGCAAAAATATTATTTCATTGGAAAATTTAACGTTTTGGGTCCAGAGACCTTTATCAGGGAAATTGCTGAAGAGCTCCAGGTGGCTTGCCTCAAACAGGGTGTGGTTGGCCTCCATGGGTGGCCCTCTTACGTAAAGTACAACAAAAAGAGACACCAACAAACATTTTCTCATGCTTTGAAAATATTTGTTTGGGTAAAATCTAGACAGTGATATATACAGAAGTGCATATTGTGTTTCTCATAATATGAGAACCACAAACACACTGTACATTTACAACATAAGAAACACTACACACAAACACACTGTACATTAACAACACGAGAAACACTACACACAAACACACTGTACATTAACAACACAAGAAACACTACACACAAACACACTGTACATTTTGTGCCAGGTGTGTGTGTGTAATTATATAAGCACATGTTTTAACTGATTACTCAAGCCTATACATATGAATGTAATGCTCAATCTTTGGTGTAGAAGCAGATCTTGGAGTGAGACAGTGTAGGCACGGCTGCTCTGGATGCAAGTCCCAAGTTGTGTCAGACGTTGCTGACACAAGCCAAGACAGAGTGTGACATAATGAGGTGATAATGTCTTTTTTTCTTTTTTTTCTCAGGTATTTTGGCCCAAGAAAACCTCCAAGAAGACCGCTCCCCACAGGGCACCTCCTACATCGCAGCCTCTTATGTCAAGTACTTAGAAAGTGCTGGAGCCAGAGTGGTCCCCATAAGGTACAACTCTCATCATGGTTTAGTTTACTTTAGTTTTGTTCAATGAAGTTGCATTTCTTTCTTTATTTGATGTCTTTATGTATTATCTACTGTATTCTATTTTATTTCTTCACTTGTTTAAAGTTAAGGATGTCAAGTTTCACACTATCTGTAGGAGAAAAGTAATAATAACCATGACATGTTTAGAAGCCAAATAAACACATTTCCGCTGTATCTTTCCTTTTCATTTATACGTTTGTTCATATCTTATTAACAAATATATGCATTTTCTGAATCAAGTATCATGTATTTCAGCACATGTTTGTGTTAAATAGGATTTGTAGACATTTTAGACAAAAACATTGACGGAACAGCTCTCCCAGGTCAACGTGCCCGATTCCACCTGCAGGTGGATCACTGACTTCCTGACGGACCGGAAGCAGCGAGTGCGTCTGGAGAAGAATGTCTCGGACTCTCGGATTATAAATACAGGGGCCCCACAGGGCTGTGTTCTTTCTCCCCTGCTCTTCTCCCTGTACACCAACCACTGCACCTCCAGCCACGACTCCGTGAAGCTCCGTGAAGTTTACGGATGACACCACCCTCATTGGACACATTTCCAACAACGATGAGTCCGCCTACAGGAGGGAGGTGGACCGGCTGGTGTCCTGGTGCAGTGGTAACAACCTGGAGCTGAACGCCCAGAAGACAGTGGAGATGATTGTGGACTTCAGGAAGAGCATAGTCCCCCCGCCCCCACCCTCCCTGATGGACTCAAGTGGGAGCCGACCATCAGCTCCCTCATCAAGAAGGCTCAGCAGAGAATGTATTTCCTGCTATTTTCCTAACCCTAACCCAGCTCAGGAAAGCCAAGCTGCCTGCACAGATGTTGGTGCAGTTCTACACGGCCATCATCGAGTCCATCCTCACCTCCTCCATCACCGTGTGGTTCGCTGGAGCCACAGTCAGGGATAAGCAGAGTCTACAGCGCATCGTGCGCTCTGAAGAGAAGGTGATTGGCCGCACCCTCCCATCGCTGCAGGACCTGTACGTCGCCCGAGCTCGAGCCGGGCTGGTCGTATCACAGCCGACCCCTCTCACCCTGCACATGGACTATTCCAACCACTCCCCTCAGGCAGGAGGCTGCGGTCCATCAGGACTAGAACCTCCCGCCACAAGAACAGTTTCTTCCCCTCTGCTGTTGGACTCTTGAACACTTCTTAACCTGTCCCCCCGCCCTTTATAAAGTCACTTTACTGCCCATCATACGTCACTTTACTTCACTGTACTGCTGTCACCTTACATTGTGTGCACCATTTGTACTTGTATATTGTAAATAGTAATTGTAATTCTATTTCAAATTGTGTTCCTTAGAAGTGCTTTATATTTTTATTTTTAGTTTTTTATATGCCTTCTCTACCCTTGCGTCTCTTTCTGACTGTTGCACTGAGCCAAAGCAATTTCCAAGTCTGTTACTTCCTGTTACTTACGTAAGTCTGATTCTGATTCTGGTGGTCAGACTTAGGTGTCAGATATTTTGATAGTGGGTCTTTCTTTAGCCCTAAAATTTACTTTATTAGAGACACACAAATCTAGGTATACATCTTTTGAGGTTTTATTATATTTCATGAAATGGAAGTGTCCGCTCATACTGCATAGTGATATTCAATTTATATATTATCTGAAGAGATACAAAAGGTATGTGTATTATTTGACTGGCTATGTCATTGTGAGCATCGTGTGGATGTGATTAACATGGATGATTCAGTTAGTCAGAAGGCTTTGTTTGCCAAGGTAATATTTCCATTGTGTACCCCAGAGAACCCACATGTCATTTGACTGTCTTCAAACACACATCCTTCCAAAATACAACAATTATACACATGAGAAAGACATTCCTGACAGTGTAAACTCATTGAGCTGCTTGTCAATTTGATTAACTGCAAAAATGGGCAAAATATACTGTCTATGTTTTGTAAAACCAGGAGATAAAATACATGTGTCATTCCTAAGTAATAATGTGCAATATTGTGTCCACTGAAAAATCACAAGTCCCTTTAGCTGCTGTTGTTTCTGTCCTTATCCTTATGTTGCTTAGCCATCACTGAAAGTTACCCTAAAAGCCCTACTGCTAATTGTTTATTGTGCTTGACTTTAAAGATATTTTTGAAGCTACTTTCTCCTGATACTTGTGATCCTCGTGCCCATTTTGCATTAACATGTAAATGTTATCCAAAAATGTACCCTTTCCTTCCACACTGAGCAACACAGGCTGGCGTATCAGAACGACTCAGTATTTAGCCTGCCTTGAGACCTAAGCTTTTCAATCAGGCGTGTCCATGGGAATCAAATATAGGGGTAATTCCGAATGAATTCTGAGTGCCATCAGTTTGGGCTTAGTAGTGACTTATCTGGAAAGTCAAAAGTTTGTTTCCACCCATTTATTTTGTTACGTTTGCCTTTCCTGTTGTCAAAAGCTGACAAACACTTCAACCTCCTTCAGTGAGCGTGTTTACAAAGCACTAGTAAAAACCAAATTCTCCTGTTACTCTGATTTGTTTGTTTCAGTCAAAAACAGTTCTATACTGAGGTGCTCAAGTCTGTGTCTTCATTAAAGCTTACCTGTATTTCTGTCTCTGTTTCAGAAGTCCCTGAATGCTAACTCGTTGCATATTTTGCAAATTTACCACACACATTTCCCTTTTGTCTCACAGAATAAACAGACCAGAAGAGGAGTATGTAAAACTGTTCGCCTCTATCAATGGGTGAGTTCATAAAACACTGTGTCAAGCCAAAGCTCATTATAAACATTATGAGGCTCATTGTATCACCGGGAGTTATAAAGCCATAATGAAGCGCTTGTTGTTCCAGGCTTCTGCTGCCAGGGGGCGACGTCGACATTGAGACTTCTCAGTGCACACAGGCGGCAAAGACTTTCTACAAGTTGGCAGTCCAGGTATTTCTTTTAGAGAATTAATTTTTCTACACTTCAAATTATTGAATTATTTAACTAGTATCAGAAAGCTGTGTTTTGTATGCAATAGGGGTGTTAAAACCGGGGTACCTAACTTTCAAACCACATTAATAGCTCTTGTTGCAAAGAATCAAATAGTGAGTCTTCCAGTTCGCTAAAGATGTTTTTAAATGTTGTATACGATATGACGATGATCATGCCTACTTCTGATCTGGTGCTTTTCCTCTTCATCAGCTCGCAGCTGATGGAGCCTCTCCGTCCCCTCGGGGTGCACAAAACCTGTTTTAAATGGCCGACTCCGTAGTGGTGTGAGCCAAGAGGACACGCAGTGGGGGGGACTGGCGCCTGAGCCACTCAGTGGCTTTGAGAGGAAAGAATGGGCAAAATCCATTCTTCCTCATTTAAGTCCAACAAAACAATGTGTGCTTTAGCCAGAGAATGTCTTTGTCTCTCCACGCTAAATGTTGGTGCCGTTTTAGCACCATGTGTGGAGGCTCCAAATAAACAGTGGACTATTAGAACCAGATTTAGAAAACAAGGATATCTGTGTTAATATAAAACCGCACATCCACTAGGTCTGTCTTGCGTACAGCGTCTCTCCAGGGCTCTCAGACACTCCACAGCAACACCCATCTGGGGACGTTTGGAGAAGGATGCTGAAGCCTTAACTTGCATGCTAGTGGTTAGGGTTAGGGTTAGGGACCACCTCAATCATTCACACACACACACACACACACACACACACCAAACTTAAAGGCAATGGGAGTGAAGTGTTTTGCCTAAAGACACAATGACAGTTTGGCACATTACAGCCACAGCCGCACCACTGTGGCACCAGACAGGATTCAGCAGATGAAAGCATAGAACCTGTTTAAGATGAGATGAGATAATATCAACTTTAAGATCAACTTTTTCAAGATACTTAACCTCACTTTGCCTGAAGCCTCCGCTGAAAGATCAAGGCTCCTGTGGACTCATCACCTGCAGGAGGATCAGTGAGGAGCTGGTGCTAAGTGTACTGGGTGCAGCCCTCAGATCCTGCCTGCCCTGCACAGGTTCAGAGGTCTGATGGGATCTGGTTTTGGCATGCAAGAATGGCCACCAACTTGCATGTTGTTATAATGATGAGTTAGAACTTTAACCACAGTTGGTTCAAGGCGTCATGAATTATCCAAACTAACCAGGTCCTGCCCTGCATAGCTTCAAAGCTCTGACGGGTTCTGGCTTGGGCGGCACGGTGGCTGAGTGCATAGCACTCTCGCCTCTCAGCAAGAAGGTCCTGGGTTCGAATCCCGGCCGGACCAGGGCCTTTCTGAGTGGAGTTTGCATGTTCTCCCCTGCGTAGGTTCCCTCCGGGTACTCCGGTTTCCCCTACCACTAAAAATATGTACAATAGTTCTGGCATGCGCCTCCTGTTCGGCGACCCCGCTCCCATCTCTGTGTGGAGTGAGAGGACAAGTGCCCAAAAAATAACAATTGTAAACCGCTTTGTGACTCTGGTCTGTGAAAGGCGGTATATAAATAAAGCTTACTTATTTACTTACTTTCACACGCAAGTACAGTCACAAACATGATAGTTCACATCAGTGGTAGTTCACCATGCCATGAATGAATCTCTTTTCTAAATGTGTCAGTGTTTAAAGGGGAGGCATCTTTTATTATTATTTATCATATCAACCTCTAAATTGTCCACAACTTTTAATGTTCGTTGTAATCAGTGCTTAACTAAGTCAGATCAAGTTCCGCAGTTAGGTCCAACTCCTGGTAACGAATGATCAAACTATATGTATTTTGTTAATTATATCAAATGCATTCAGTGCTTATACCCAACTTGGTACTGAGACACACTGCATGTTTGGCTTGGCCTTCTCCATTACGGTTGGTATAATATTTAAAAGACCTAATTATTTGGTCTAATGGGTTTATTAAAATGTTGCTAAAGTATTTTGCATCTGGCCGACTTGCATCATTTTCACTCTCAAAGATCAATGTTTGAATGTTGAATTTTTCGAATTTTGCTTCCCATTGGGCATTTGGCTGAACACTAAGGTCTGGGATTGAGCGCAAAACTCCAAACTCAGGAGATAAAAAAAAATCAGCCAATCAGGATCGCCTGAGTAACGTCAGGTTTGCTCCACCTTCTCGTGCTAGTCCCAAGCCCCGGTGATCCAAGATGGCGCCCTTTTCAAATGAATGGATTGTGCTCAGTAGCGCATGGGACATACACGGGACCCGAGAGATTAGCTGAACTCGCCTATATTTGGGTATTGTCTGGTCCTCCCGGTTCTGCGCAGTAGTGATGTGCTGAGCGGACCGAGGCCCAGTCCCAATACCCACACTGCACCCTACGCCCTCCTATGAAGTGTGCATTTGTTTGAAGTGCGCGCAAGGGTTTGAGTGCGCAGGTTGCAAGCGTGCACAAAAGGTGGAATTGGGACAGTGCACACTGAGTGCAGGTTACGTCATCGACTCGTCAAGAGATGGTCATTTTCAGACCTAAACTTTATAAAAATTAAAGGTAATTTTGTCTGACCCTTTGGGAAACAATATGAATTGCTCCACACACGTTAAAATACATGTATATTAGTTGTTTTTAATTAGAGATAGCGGTATAATTTTAAGTTAAATGTGGGTAACTAACTATCTGGTCAGTTTTTATACATTCTAAGATTATTGCACTAAGTGTAAAGTTTAAATTAAATGTTATATAAACGCTTGCTTTAAAAAGTTATTAAATTGTTAAAACACAATGTCCGTAATTCTTCATCAGACGTTTATGCTTCTTTCCAAGTAACATAGCAATATTTACACACATACTGCATATATATTTCAAAATGTATATTTAAATGCATTTTCCCGTCGTTTTGGTGTGTAGCGCAAAGAATTATGGGCAATATCCTTCGCCAGAGTGTGCATAGATGCAGGCTACGGCGAAGTGTGGATCAGGGGCGCAAAGGGGGCGGGGCCAAAGACCTCCTTGGAGAATTGGGACACCCTACGCACTCGCACCCTTTATCGGGAACGCGCAAATGAGGGGCGCGAGGGTGGAAGTGCGAGTATTGGGACGGGGCCCACGTCTTCGAAGCGTGGACCGAGTAATCTGGGGGCGTTTCTTGTGAAGTGTGGGTCGAGGCGTGTATTGGTCACGTGTGTGGTGACGTTCGAAGCCTCGCGTAGCGGCCGCACCACGTGACGGTTCATATAGTGCTTCATATAGTTCGGAGAGTGCATTGCTTTGACAGGTGCTTTGTGATCCGCGGCTGTACCATAGACTGTATTGGCTGTCCCCATCTGCCTCTGTGTGCGTACGTGTGTGTGCGTGATGTGGAGCAGTCCTGTACTAAGTATAGAGAAACTACTTCATATGAAATACAATTAAAAACGTTTAGTAAAACCTCATATATCAAGGCTTCAAGTTATTAGTAATAATACGCTGGATAATACATTTCACAACAGCTGTGTGGCGCAGTCGGTCTATGACGGACTCCGAAGCAGAAGATATAGCGTTCCAATCCTGGTCTACCCATAATAAATTTTGTGTTGCAAAGTAAATGTATTTATTTATTGGGAATAAATGGTTTGTTGTGTTTAATTAATCCACCTCTTGGTAGTTTTTCCTCCATTAATCACTTTCTGTAGAACTGTATTACTTTGGATGTGTTTGTTGTATCAACACAATTGACTGAAAGACTCAAATAGTTCATAGTTCATGAAGCATCATTTCAAACACAACACGTTAGACCATAGATTGTAAATATACATTTTAACATTAGATCTCACCATTCATTGTAAGCACTTAAGAGTGTTATGTATTTCTTTGTCCACATGATGGCGTAGTGGAGCATGATTCACCTCGAGCCTTAGACTCATGGGCCGAGTAATAGGCTGCTATCCCTCAAGGCTTCATGGGGCTTCATATTGCCATCACTACTGCGCAGTACCCGAGTTCCCATGATGCGTCGCCAAATACACATGTGTGGCTTTCATGCACGTGCACAGAGGGTCCAAAAAATCCTTCTGGGTGTATCTTTTTTGGGCATATTCGCGGGTTTTGGGCTGGACAATCTTGCCGACAATTGGCAACCCTGCGAAGCAGTGAGGAGTCGAGTGCTGAATTGTGTGCTTCGATGTGAGTGGTTGGAGGAACACGCCATTCAAGATAACAGACAAGTGGTTTATCTTAGAAGACACCGCTAACTAAAAACTGATTGCAAAAACAGCACACCCAATGTGAAGAGGAACTCCTTATTCACCTAAATTGTTGGTGGTTCCAGGCAAACGAGGCGGGGGACTACTTCCCAGTGTGGGGCACCTGCCAAGGCTTCCAGCAGCTCAGTGTGCTGACCGCGAAGAGGAACCTGCTCACACGGACCGACACGGAGGCTGTCGCACTACCACTTACCCTCAGCTCAGGTCTGTTCCTTTGTTTATTCTCGATCCCCATCACAAAGTCCAATTTTTCTATTAACATTTGTTTGAATTTAGAATACATAAGCAGTGTCTTTCTTACAGAAATAACATTTCAATACAAACTCATCAACAAACTTAATTTCATTACCAATTCCAACCATAATTCATTCCCAAATGTGGAATTGTTTTCAGTGGTAACAGACACTGTTACCACTGAATAGTGCGTTTCACAGACCAAAAGCACTTTACAATGTTTTTGGAGTTCAGATATTTTTCCATTCTCTCCACACTCACTCAAAATCAGAGCACTCAGAGGAAACTTATGCAGACAGAGGAAGAACTCCACACAGAAAGGCCAGGAAGTGGAGTTGAACTCTAGACCTTGCTGTGTAACACTGCTCCAACAAAATAATGTTCTTAATAACAAGCACAGAACATGTTCATACATGTTTGTCTAAAAGAAAATTCTTCAATGAGATTTCAACACGTTTTTGCTTCAGTGTTACTCAGTGTGGAGGAAAGGGCACACCAGGGGAAAACAACATGTTTTGGCTCAGTGGGAGTGAGACTACTGATTGAGCTTCCTGTTTCAAAACATTGATTTATCTCGGCCCATGTAGCTCAATAAGATGCAGTTCTGAAAAACAGTCATTAGAGAGCACCATTTTTACTTTTTCCAGTGGTTCTAAAGATTGTCTCAGAAAACTGAGGTTCTGTAGCTCCTCAATGACAATGCTGCGCACGGTTCCTCGAGTACGGGCGCATTTATTGACCTTACAAGTGTAAGAAATGTCCTTTAACGCCGTGAAAACTACAGGACAAAATAAAATATGCAATTAAAACACAACTTCTTGACTACATTACAAAAATTAGAATTAAAATTAAAACTAGCTACCTCATGGACGCCTGTCATGTCAGAGGTCTTTAGTGTAACTTTAAAGCAATATGTTTCAGCTGTACACAACATATAGTACAATAAAAAACACAAAGGTAAATATACAATAATATCGTACATGTCACTTCAACTCACCTAAAAGCCATAGCAATAGCATAGACAGGAAGTGAAAGGGCTGTTCTTTTTTTTTTTTTTTTTTTTTTTTTAATTTTTTTTTTTTTTATTAAATCAACATAAAAACACAAGATACACTTACAATTAGTGCTCCATTCCAAAACCCTCCCACCCTCACCCCCATTCACACTCATTCACACAAACGGGTTGTTTCCTTACCATATTAACATTCTGGTTCCTACAATATATATCAATGCAGTCTGCACGGGATGAAGTCCGTGAGGCACTGCCCTAAACCAGTGCCTTTCGGAAACCACATCCACCGCAATAGGGTTGTGTGTGCTGCTGGTCCACTTTTAGTGGTAACATTTACCAGTTACATTTTGCTCAAATTCAAAAATTATTGTATTAAAGAATAAAATAGAAGAAAAAATAAAAAAAAAGGGCTGTTCTTTGTTAACAGGAAACGACGTCACGCCTCCCCGTGCATATAGGGTCAGCACTAGATCATATACGGAATCGGGACGGAAGCGGAAGTAAATATAACAAACTACCTATTCATGCCTAAACTTAACCAGTCATTCCCATAAAATAACCCCAACCATCTTACTCAGACACCTAAAACTTAACCAGTCACCACTTAAGGACTTATTAGTCTAAAACTAACTCAAAAGTGGGATTGTTACTTCCGGTTTCGTCCCGATTCCGTGTATGATCTAGTGCCGACTGTGCATGTAGCCCATTACTCGGCCCATGGTTCAAGTCTCAAGGTGACACTACGCCATCATGTGGGCAAAAATAATATATATAACACTCTTAAAGTGATAGTATGTAACTCTAAATTAATTACACATTTTTTAAGAATTGGAGTAAATTGGCCTCCTGGCCTTAAATGTTGATATAAAATAAGTATTTTTATAAATTCTAATATTACAGTTAAGTCCCGCCTTCCCTTCTCTTAGCTATAGCTCAGAATCCCGATGCCGTCCACGTTAACCAATCAAGTCATGCCAAGGGCTGTCAATCATCGCGCTGATCCTCGTAGCTGCGTGCATGCTCAGTTGTTTGTTTTTGCGGAGCCTCCGAATCAAGCCTCTATTAGGCTCTGAAACTACATGAAAACTGAACAAAGAATTCTGAACATGCACTGAGTTACCTATTTATATACTGAACGTATATCCATAATCAGATCCTCTGCAGATGTGTCCTATAATGTGCAATTCATGATAATAGCTTGTTCCGGGTTTGCCGCGATCGCTTTTTTGTGCATTAAAACATTATTTTTTTCAAAAAAACGTTAACAAATAATTCTGAAAACCTCTGTGCATGTGTATTAATAATGTATATGTATAATGTGTTCTCTCATTAACATTTAAATGTGTTACGGAAATTTCATGACAGTTTGAAGCTACTGTGGTTAACGTTCTAACTCATCATTCTAACAATATGCACAACGCAGTATTTTTCCCTAACCCTTGTTATTTTCAAAATTATATATGACATATGCAGTGTTTAATAAAAATCAAAGTTGGAAGCCCCTTCATAAATACTCATACTCACAGAAATGATAAAAAGTGACCACATGGTCAAAAAACTGACCATAGGTTGTGAGAATATTTGTGATGCGATCTGGGAAAACCCGTCGGATGTCGTTCTAGCACGTTCCGAGTAAACAGTGAAAATAGGTCGAGTGTCATTTTTTTGGCTAAATTGTGTTTTCATTAAATAATTATTATATTACGTCTTGTCTTTAATTTCTGAAAATATCTAGGTGAAATTCACTAGTTTTATACATAAAAAATTGTGATATGTGTCAGGGCTGGACTGGGACAAAAAAACGGCCCGGGCATTTTTTCCTTCTTACCGGCCCAGGCATGTTTTTGTCACGTTTTTTTTTACAGTTTGTTTATACCAGGGATCGGCAACTCAAAAGGTTCAAAGAGCCATATTTGACAAAAAAAACTAAAAACATCTGTCTGGAGCCGCAAAAATTAGCTACATTAGCTACATTAACCTATTATCTAAATGACCAAGTAAAGGCTACAAATACATAATAAGCATTCATGATTGTCAAATGTGTGTTTTCACTGCAGCGTGTCCTGGAGAGAATGACGCACCACGTGATGACTCTGCTTTAACTTTGACTTCCATTTTTTTGCCTTCATGCAACTGTAGAAATACAGTAAATAAATCTACTTTTTGGCTCAAAGGTCACACACCTGCACTGTCCGCTCATATCGATCACGTCACAGGCTGAAGTTTGCTGGAGCTGAATGTCCTTAATGGCCTTTTCTTTCACAGTCTTTGCGGAGGTTTTTGAAGTCTGAAAAAGGTGCTCCGGATTTTGTATGAAAGAATCCTTCACGTAATCCCTGTGAACGGTATTTAGTGCTTCATTGTTCCTCGTGTTGCAACAAAACTTCCTATTACATCGCAAACATGAAGCAGTCCTTCCTCATTGACTGAAAGCAAATGTTCAGTCTTGTTCTTAGTCCAGTTTTATTATCGACTCGTTCTCTTTTTATCTTTGGGATCCGTGCGCACACGGCGGTTTGTTTACAGCAGTGGCCGCCTGGCGCGGGGCCGCGCCACAGGATATGACTCACTACGTTGACAGAAATGTTGAAATTGAATATTACTCAGGGCTGGACTGGCCATTGGGCGTAAAAACATGTTTGTGAAAAGTGTAAATCCGTTGAGAATTGTTCGAGGGGAGCGCGCGTGTCCGCGGGGCACCTGCTCAATGGACTCGAACGGGATTCCACCACCTCAGCGGCCGCAGTGTTCCCGGGCTGCTGCAGGCGCTTTGTAATAAGTAAGTAATGTTTATTTATATACCGCCTTTCACAGACCAGAGTCACAAAGCGGTTTACAATTGTTATTATTTTTGGGCACTTGTCTCTCACTCCACACAGAGATGGGAGCGGGGTCGCCGAACAGGAGGCGCATGCCAGACCTATTGTACATATTTTTTGTGGTAGGGGAAACCGGAGCACCCGGAGGAAACCTACGCAAACACGGGGAGAACATGCAAACTCCACTCAGAAAGGCCCTGGTCCGACAGGGATTCGAACCTAGGACCTTCTTGCTGAGAGGCGAGAGTGCTATCCACTCAGAACCGCTCACAACACAACACGGTGAGCGCGTAGCCACAACGTGACCATGTACCCAAGACCATAAACGCACACATGACCATGCGTGTCTTAGCGTAGTCTGTGGACCCAATAAATACACCGCTGCAGTAAACAGTCCGCGTCTCCCCTCTCCTGTCGAAGCGCGACTAAATTAAAGCTTGGGTACCTAAATTTTCCATTGCATCAAAAGTTCATGTTTGAGCCCAAAAGTAAAATGTTGTGGACAAATCAAACAGATTTAGTGACAGCTAACGGCTGACATTATGCATTTCAGACTTTTTTTGACCAATTCTCATGTCTGTGTCCACCTCCCTCACTCTGAGACATGTTTATTACTCTCTTGTAATGTAGACTATTGCGTTTTATTTTATTGTTGAAACTACAGACATCCTGATCCTCTACAGTATTTGCTTCCACATACTGTATAAACCAGGGGTCGTCAACCTGCGGCTCTTTGTAGCTCCTCCAGTGGCTCCTGGAGCCTTTTAAAAAATGTCTGAAAATGGAGTGGGAGGGCTATATTTTATTTCTAGTTTGAATGTGGTTTCTGTAGGAGGAAAAACATTCTTGATGTTTTTAAATGCTGTGCATAAGTATTATTCAATTTCAAAATGTCTGTCTACATAGTGCGTCATATCCGGTGACGAGGCCCCGTGCCAGGCGTGTGTGCATCATAGACTGTGTGTGCGCACGGATCCCAAAGATAAAGAGAGAAAGAGTCGATAAGACTGGACTAAGAATCAGAATTAACTTTTGCTTTCAGTCAATAAGGAAAGACTGCCTCATGTTTGTAACGAGAAGTTTTGTTGCAACACGAGGAACAATGAAGCTTTAAACACTGTTCACTGAAGGATTCATTC